AGAACAAGTTCATAACAACAAAGTACACTCTGCATTTGCAGTGTCTGTCTCTGTTTCTGTGGTTGCAAGAACGTTATGACACTGTGTACACGCGTCATCCTGGTTTCCAAAAGGGATCATTGCCTCTTCTGTCTCTAGACAATCCATTTCCAATGAATCTACCGGAGAACTTGTTTGGGGAGAGATGGGCATTTGTTCAGTTACCTTACTCAGCTGTTAAAGAAGAGATCTCAGACTTTGAGGAGAAGTTTGTGTTTGGTGCAAGCTTAGACTTGGATTTGCTTGGCATTGAAGTGGATGAGAATACACTGATTCCGGGTCTCTCTGTTGCGACTTCACGGGCAAAACCTCTAGCTGGTAAGTGTGTTGTTAGTTGCTAAACCATCTTAAACAAGTTAGTTGTAATGAGGTTTTTGAATCCTGAGTTTATACATGGTCATTTTAGCTTGGATGAATGGGCTTGAGGTATGCTCGATCGAAGCAGACAGTTCGAAAGGATGTTTGATTCTATCTGTTGGGATCTCGACAAGATATGTCTACGCAACCTACAAGAAAACACCTGTTACTACTGATGAAGCTGAAGCTTGGGAATCTGCAAAGAAAGCAAGTGGGGGTTTACATTTTCTTGCAATTCAAGATGACTTAGATTCTGATGATTGTGTTGGCTTTTGGCTTCTTATTGATTTGCCACCACCCCCTGTTTAATTTCACTTTGATTTATGGTAATAACATATTTTGCCATTTAGTAACAGAGAAGACCTGGAGATTTTGCAAATGCTTGAAATTAAACAAATTGTTACATAAGTCTGGAAAAAAGTATGGACCTAGCAAGTAAGTGAGTTACAAGGAATGACAAATCAAGCCTGAAAAAATATGATTCATAGCTACCTTCAATATCACACACGTAATATCTACACAGTTTGGCGTTGTTCGTCTTGCTGATAATTACCATGAAAAAGTGCTTAAACGCATGAATTGCCCAAACAATCAAATCTTCTTCATGGCTCACACGCAGAAAGTTAGTGACTAAAATGTTGCTTGTTGGCCCAATCAACTCCTCGACCTCTTTTGCTTCTGCCGTATGAAGCGAACGCTGTGCTTTCCAAGTTCGAACATCTTGATGCTTCCATCATCCAGTGAAACCGACAATGTGGACGTGTCTTCAGTAATGTCTGTTACTGTTCCTTTATGCCTTTAACAGGGAAATGTATTACTGGTTTTAGACGTTTGGACTTGGATACAATAAGCAAGCAAAACACAAAAGCTTAATAAGTATAAGACGATCAAACCTACCATGAGTTTTGAGATCCATGGACTTCGACTCTCTTTCCTATTGAATCTTTACCCAACTTCTTCAAAATCCAGTTAGCATCCATCATCTCGTCATTCCTTGAACTATCCTGATGAGAATGTGTTGTAGCTTCACCGTCTTCCTTCAGAGAACCCTTGTCCACTAAGCTTGAAGGTCTCTTTCTCTTTGATCTTTGACCCCTTGCCAAACTCAGTTTTTCATCCTCAGACTGCGTTGTAATCAGAGATGTTTGATCTCCGGAATTAGGTTTCCTGAGTTTAACTTTCAGTAGAGGTCTTCCTTCTTTTGGTAAAGATGGTGAGATGGATGTTTTATCATCCACATGATTTCCCCCACTTGTTGAAGCAGGGAACTGTGTGATCGACCCAAATGTATTTTTACTTCCTTCAGATTGAGTTTTCCCAAACCTTCCAGCAATTTTTAGGGTTTGTACTTCGCCAGTCTGATCAACTTTATCCCCTGCAGAATTGCATCATTAGCAGAAGGTTAGATAGATTATAGACTTGTAAATGTTCAATAGTTGTCCAGTTAGTGTATATGTGAAACTATTTATGTATTTATGTAGTTACGTATTAAATCAAAGACAAGAATGCAACATACCACCCGAAGAGGACTGATCTTTGTCCCTTGATACAATACTGGACTTCGAAGAATCACTAACATTTATTTTCCTAGCACCCAGACTAATGACCAACTTCTTTGTCTTTACAGCTTTCTCCTCGCTAGGCTTGCTACACTTTATTCTGACTATCCTTGACAGCTTTTCCTCATCAGTCACCATAACATCATCAACCCTCTTGTGTTTTACAATCATAGGTTCATGTGTTGAGCAAATTCCAGCAACAGAAGAATGAACATCAGATCGTTCATTTATCTGAAACCCCACACTATCAACTTTAGGACCACCTAGTCTGCGTCTCTCAGATTCAATCTCCTGATGAAGTTCAGAATCCTGTTGGGGCTCTAACTTAGTGTGATTACCTTTTTTACTATGTTTTTTATTTAGAGAGTTCTTCCCATACTCCTTGCTTTTCTTTGGGGATTTTTCCACCAAACCTTTCACAGGGAACTTCAGTGAACGCCCAGACACAGGTCCATTTTCTTCATCATCTAAAAACTGAGATATCGAAAATATTTCTTCCTCTGTTGGCAAACCAGCAGCAGCCCTCAGACTAGCAATCAACTCTTTGTCCACCACATCTTTTTTCTTCCAAAGTTCTTGAACTGCATCCTGAAGATCCTTCACCTGAGAGCCAAGATAGAATTTGAAAACTAAGAAACCTTATCTGAGTAAAACACTAGCAAATTGAAATATTTAATCGTTCCTATTCCACCGGAAAACCCCGAGCTCTACATATAAGATTAAAAGAAACAAGAAGAATGATCTGAGTGACTAAGAAGCAAGGGTGTAGGAACAAACATACCTGATAACATTCCCCACGGCATGTAGCACATTTGTATTGTAGGTTTCCATCAACTTGAAACCGCATATATTTCTCATCACTGCATGACAGTATCCAGAGGCAAACAATTCTATATTTAATAGAACAGAAATACATTTTGCTATGCATATTCAAAATCCGACTTATTCTGAATGGTAGTATCTACAAGAATAAAGTAACAGGAATGTGTCCAACTAAAGTTCCTAAATCAGATAACAGATGCAATAGAGATGAACAATAGGCTTTGCAACAATATGATGATGAAGAAATGAAGAACCTTATTCCATCGCAATGGCAATGCACCCAACGCTGACAAATATCGCAGCATACCATCGGTGTTGATTCTGAATCCCTATACACCTACACAAGATAAGCAGCCTGGTTAATGCAACATTAAAGAGGAGTTATCTTTTGGCTATAGCCCATTAAAAAATCAAGGCCTTGGTAGTGATAAGACTCGTTTTGCTTAAAAAAAAATACCTTCAAGCATACAGGGCAATAATTTCCCTTCACAAATAATCTGCCACAAGCATCACAGCAGGTATATGATAAAAACCACCTGTTACATTTAAAAAAAAAAATGAGGTCAATCCATCTTTCAAATCCTTAACTCGCCAAACAGAGTTTATTGTTCTACTCACTTATAAGACTAACCTAACCCGCAAAAGACTAAGAATGTATACCTGACACTTAGGCCATTTCCAGGGACAGTAGAATCACAGCTGTGGCATCTTGTGTGCTTTGGGCACAGATATGGCCCAGAACTTACATTCTGTGCGGTCAAGATAAAATAAATAAGCCGACTTACTCTAGTTTCAAAGATAATCGCATGAACAAACAAGAAATCTGTCAGGTACCTTGTGTGGAGGATGTTGGCAATAGCAATGGTAAGCAGCATCACACCTTTTGCAGAACATGAACTTGTTAGGATCTCCTGTTTTATGGCAGACCTAGGGAGGGTGAAGAATCAGCGTCAAAGATCTAAAGACACTATATATAGCAGTTAAGCTGGCAACGTAAAAACTCAACTGACCTCACAAACCCGGCACGAGGGACAAGACCATGAACTCCAATGAAATAAATCTGCAACTTACAGCAATTAGACGAACGAGCCTTTAACAAGCCAGAAAAAAAAATCAAATTGAATGCAAGTAACCTCTATGTTGGGCCCAAGACTTTACACAATTCGTGTGGTACTTCTTTCCACAGTTTTTACAGGCGAGCATCCTCCTTGCTCTCTCACTTCCTTCGCCGTCTCCTAAGAAACACATTCTGCACATTATATTCATGCCAGACTGAGCTAGTTCTTCACCAGCAAGGTCTTTAGAGGAAAGCTGTACAAGAAAAAAAAAGCTCAAAATGACTCTTTTGAGGCAATAAGTTTCTACGAAGAAAATTTAACAATTCCCCCAATCTTATTATAAGTAAATTTTTCATATCATCCACCTAAGAACAAGACTAATCAAAGCAATTGCGATGGAAACAAACCAATTTAACAAGTAATGCGAACCTCATTGACACCAGATTCAAACCTCCGAGCATAATCCTCGGCAGCTTCCACCGTAACTGCAGCCTGTCTCTGAAGAGCGACACGCTTCTTCTGCGCCGAAGCTTCTTCCTCCACAGTTTCATCAATACCAGCATCTCCTCCAACTCCCAAATTCGAAGCTGCGGAAACCGTCTGAGAAGCAGGAACGACTTTAGGAACCCTAACCTGAATCGTACCATCCGTAAAAACCCTAGAAGAAGAACCCAATGGATCGATGAGAAACCCCTCCACTCGATTAACCCCTTTGAGAAACTCCTCCTTTCCATTGACACCACGAAGATCGCGAGAAAACCCTAGAGAGCAGAAGCAAATCCGACGGCTGCAACAAAAGATCGAATCGAGATTGAACAGAGAGAGATAGTGAAGCTTCGTTTAGAGAAGAATAGAGAGATACCATGTAATTGGGCAAGCTACGTGAAAGGCCATATAATCTCCCCCCAAAACAATTATTCCTCAGCCTCCAAGCGCC